GAGAATTTTTATCGGATATAGGTATTCCTGTAAGTCAATGACTTCAAATTTGTGATCGGTTTCTTTCTCCAAGCTTCAACTTTTTAAATGATATTTTTAGTCAAGATTTAGAAGCCTAAAAACGCTACATATGACCTGGGGATCACATAAAGGTGGCGACAAGCCTCTTGGAGAGTTAGGGCCTATCACCAAAATTGAAACTAATACATAGGAACCTATACCCGTAAATGTTGTCCTACGCCTACAGGGTTGCTTCCCTATTATGAAATTCTTCTTTGTGTCGTTTTGAACAGGTCATAAAAGGGGAAACGCCTAACATAAAATAGGACTAAAAAGATTACTAAAGTAATCTATAGTACAACCTATAGAGGATTTCAAAAGATCAAAATAATTTAATGCTAAAATCCATTCATATTGAAATCCATCCTTTGCGATTTGATTAATTAATTCCGAAGTTGCAAGTATTCCATTCTTTCATGGATTGTTTGCATTCATAAATATTTAAAAAAATTAGTATTTCTTTTCCTTCTTAAGAAGCACTGCAGAAATTGGTAACACAATTAAGTTGAGATCTGCGACGTCTCTATTGCAAAGGTATTTAAGCCACTGAAATGTAACAAGTTCCAGGAGAGAAAAATAAACAACGGTTTCTGACTATTTTTTAGAAACCTTTCGCGCTATTCAAATTATTTTTCTCAATAATAATGACAAAGAACAGTATCATGGTTTCATTTTCGATCGTTTAGTCTTCATTATAGTGAACAATACTCCACAATGCACTACATTGAGGTTCCGAATTGTTGAAAAATTTTCCTCATACATTTGAGATTTCATGTTTTATTTCGAAATAATTTTTAAAGTTAACGAAACACGGGTCAAGGATTGCTGAATCGTCAAAAGGGAAATTTTTATTTACTAGAGTATAGATTGAGAATGTATTCTGTAAGCTAACAAGTATTAATGAATTCAAGCTGTACTCCACTTACTTTTTTACCATGGATCACGATTACTTGCGATTAAATATAGGGGGTAATACCATTCTTCTTTCATTCAAAGAATATGGATTTCGGCAAACCCAAATATGGGTTCAGCAGGTATTTCGGAAACATAGTCCAAAGATCCGCGGTGATATAAAAAAAATATTTCGTTCTTTTTAAGATTTGAAGGTTAGAATTTTTAAACTATTGAGCGAGAATAATGGCGATGATTGAGGAACATTCTGCATTTATTTTTTGCCACTACTGAGGGGCTTTGTTTTAAGAAACTCGAAACACAGGTACTTACTATTTGAAACAGTGTTAAATACTTTTTCAATCACAAACATTATGAGGTCCCATGGCTGCTGGTGCATAATACACGTACATTGTAACGTGGGCTAGTAAATTTATTGCAACACCAAAGATGAAAAAGAAGGCTAAAACACAATAATTAATTAATGATTTCCAATTTAAAGTTTTGAAATTTATAGTTTTAATTGAATTAATCACATTTATATGATATTCACTCTCCTAAAAAAGGATGGAACTCACTTGGGAAGTACGCATTTTGAAAATTCCTAGTTAAACTTAAATTAAAAAACATGTTTGAAAACTTTGGATAGAGTACAAATTAGCTGCCAGATCTGCCCCTAAGGTGAAAAAATGCCTCATTAAAGTTACAGTTGATTTACTTATTTACTTTCAAACAAACAAGAACTTTACAACCGATGTGTATTTGTAGTTTTCACGATTAAGACTTTCCACGACGAGAGGTTTGTAGTTCAAATACCAACTGAGGCGATTAAAAGCTTGTTTTCTTTTCTGAAAAGGTTGATAACTAATTGTTATGTTTTATTCATTTTATAAATTAATATTTTTTTATTCAAATCAGCTTTTTTTAAAGATTTAAATTTTTAAAACAAAAAATTTATAGATAATTACTTTTTATGTCATAATTAAACAATATGGATTATTTTTAAAAAATAAAAAAAAAATTAATTAAAATTTTAAATTGCCAAATTTTTAAACTAAATTTTTCAATTAAATTTCATAATTTAAAAAAATAGCACAGTATCTCCAATGGTACTGTTATTGATTTTTTCACTAGTCGAAATAGTGGCGACGACGGGGCGATTGAATGAACTTTTTATTAAGACAAAACAAAACAGATTTAGCGACAAGCTCCGAAAGACAAGCGGCAAAGATAACTCTTAGTCTGACTAACTAACTCCACTATACTCCCTCCGTTCATCCTTTTATATAATTTTTCACCACATTCCAAAATTCTCGAATTGTCTCTAAGACGACAGAACGTCTAGGATTCCAGAATCATCGCGTTAAGGCCTCGCGAATGACAGCTAGTCTCGAAAACTTCACTGGCAGGACAGAAAGGAACCAGTCCGTAACAGTATCACGTGAATTTGGTTTCAAAAGTACAACCCTATTATCTGTAGTAAATGTTTTTACAGTATTCTGAGAAATACCGTGAGAAAAAAAAGTAGGCATGAGGCAAATAAAAATATATAGTCTTAAAAAATAATAGCTCGCATAATTTCTACTAAAATTTTTATTTTTGCCATTTTGTCTGAGCTAAACCCCTCCCTTGCGTACGCCACTGATTAGAAACTTCTGTAGCAGATAGAGTGTTTTTCGAAATTATATTTAACACTAGATAGACTGAAACTTAGTATATACCTATATTACCCAAAAGCAGTCAAAATGACTGGATTGTGAAAGAATAACTAATGTGTAAAGAAAATTGCTTAAAATAAATTTTTGAAATTTTTTAAATCAGTTATATAACAAGTTATTAGTAAATATTTACAATAAAAAAATTATGTATTGAACAAAAAGTCACAAATTTCTAAGAAATTGTGTCATTATATACATCATTGTTTTTCTAATTGAAATCAAAAGGCAGTCAAAGTGACTTCCTTGAGCAATCTGGAGTTAAAGTGTAGGTGTCAGAGTAAAGGTTCATATATATTACTATTTATAAAGCAGTGTTACCCAAAAGGTGTACTGCTGAACCCCAGGGTTTCGCAGGAATGTAATAAGGGTTGTATCTGACGTTAAACCTAATTTTAACACTGATGAACAATTAAAAATTTCTCACTTTCAAAACAATGATCAGTATTTGGTTAACATGAAATCGAAATTGCAGATGAACTTAATTGATAAAGTCGGAGTTCCACGAAACGTAAGTAGATTATTAAGGGTTCCATGGCCAAAAGATATTGGGAACCACAGTTGCAATGTATTTTAGCTTGGTAGATAAGGAGAAAAGATGATATTATTAAAACAAAGAGAGAGAAACCTAAATAATCTACTCGAACAAATAATGTTAATTTATAATTCTAATAATATAATATAAATAATACAATAAACTTGATTATAGTAACTAGTTATTAAACAGTTTAACCCTTTAATGGGCCCTTTATTTCTAGTAAAGGTAAATTAAAGTATTTTTGGAATTGAAATTGTTTTAAAAACAGTAACTGATATAAAAAAAAAAACTCATTTAGTTTATAAAAATACCATGTTTTTGGTGGTAAATATATTTAACATGACCTATTAGGAATTTACTGACTTTTATTTTTCTTTATTTATAAAATAAATTCCTTAAATGCTACAAACTTCAAAAGAAATTATGTATTTTATAATTTTATACGTTTTCTAAAAGTGACAAATGGTTACCAATTTTATTCAAACTCACTTCAAGAAAGCGGAAGTTATTGAAAAATGGAAACCAAAATTAAAAGTGGTAAAACGTGGTGGTAAGATACTTACCACGGCCTTCAAAAGGGTTAACAAATTTACTTCATTAACAGGAAATTAATAAAAGAAAAGTTTATATTCAGTACTAGAGATACATATTTAAAACGAATCGTATAGACAATATTTTAAGGTAACTAGTCAAAAAAGTTTCAAAAGCTCAATACATTTTTTCAATAAAAAGAATTATATAAACCTATTCTATAAACAAAGCAAATTCTCCGCAAAATAAATGAAAACCGCAGAGGGAGAACAGTTTATGTCCATAAAAACTGTGATACGGAGAAAAAACTATTTTGCACAAAGAAAATAAGGGTTTTTTCCATTTTCACTCCGTAATAACTCTCGGAGAAAACCGATTTTTCACATTATTGATTTGCCAACAGTAAGTAATCCTCAAAATAGAATATATGGCAATCAAATTGATTTAGAGCATTTTTGAGAAAGCAGCACTAAAACAGTTGTTTCCTCTTGATATTCAAACGTGATAATAATCTACTATTTCAAGACGTTCAAAAGGTTAATAGGTAATCGAACATTAATTTGATAATTAAAAAATAATTTAACCAAAAAATGGAAGAAAAATTTAACTTTGCAAATATATTAAAAACAGAGACTTAAAAAAAATTCTAAGCTAACGTGTAGACAGATAAAAAATTTTTTCACACCTATTGCAAATGGCGGTCTCCGAGTAAAAACAAAGCTCCAAATTTGAAATATTTTTCAGCCTGTTCTATTTTTTGGAATAAAATAAAATGTGGTAAAAATACGATTAGAAAGAACATTATGCATAGTAATTAATAAAGCATAATATAAAGTGGAATAGACAGATAGATTAGAAATAGCTTTTTTTTTGTTGCTTTTTTTTTTTTTTTTAGACGAATGTGAAAAGACGAGTTGGGACGAAAGTCTATTATGGATCCCGCGTATTAACAGAGATCTAAATTTTGAAATATCGTTTGGATTCTACAGAAATTTCTCGGATTAATAAAAAATGCGGAATATAATTCTGAAACATATTAGGATGAACAACTATTAGAAAAAATTCTTAAGAAACTAAGAATAGAAAATTGAATCGCATTGTTGTTCAAAAGTTAATTACGGAAGTTTGTTGTATCTTACCTGGAGGCTGAAAGAGAAGGTCATAGAATTAAATAATTCTCTAATTGTTTTTAATCCTTTTTATTGTTCTAGGTGTCTTCATTTGAAAACAATGTGAAACGTAAATAAGTTTGCTTTTTAAAGAAAATGGAAGCGCTTTCACCTGAAAAAGGCACAGAGCAGGAAAATCTTGAATCTGCAGTCTTATTCGGGAACTCATCCGTTTATGCCATAGCGCAGGTTGGAAAATCAAAAAATACACTTCGTAAAGTCTTTTGGATTATTTTTCTGTTCATGGCGCTTCTCGTTTGCATTCACCAACTTTATCCCTTTATAGTTGTATATTCACAATATGATGTTATCATTGATTTTCAAGTTGAACATAAGTGGAGCTTAGAATTTCCTGCAGTAACTGTTTGCAACTTGAATCGAATGAAAAAGAAATATATTAGGTGCTTGAAAACAAATAAACGAATGGACGTTTGTACGAGTGGGGCCGGAGCGGACAGCAGCAATGAATTCACTCTGTCTGAACGAAATACAATAACATCATGCAAAGCTCTCTTGTATGGAAATAGCAACATCTCGGATGACTCAGCACTTCCATTTTTGACAAGATATTCTCTTTTGGATAAAGAAAAGCGTAAATCAATAGGAGAGCAAGCCATTCGCTTCATACGTAGCTGCACGATAAATGGAGCAATTTGCTCTGTGGAAGAATTTTCGTTCGTGCAAAGTTTTCGCCATGGTAACTGCTATACTTTTAACAAACGAAAGAAAACAGATGTGAATCCCCTTGTGGCTTCAATGAATAAACTTAATTTAGGTTTGGAGCTAGTTTTGGATTTACATCTTAAACAATACATGACAGAAACGCAAGCAATTGGAGCAAAGATATTAATACATCATCCGAAAGATGAACCAAATATTGAAGAAGAAGGGATTACAATTAGTCCAGGATTCGAAACTTCAATAAGTATGTCAAAAATGCAGATCTTAAGACTACCATATCCTTTTAGAGATCAGTGTATTCATTATGAACTTGATGATAAATATCCTTTCTGCAACCAACAGGACTGCGTCAGAAGTTGCATACAAAATTTTAATAAACTGGCATGTGGATGCACAGATCCAACTATACCGAAAGCAGATGATGCAAAACTTTGCAATATTTCCAATGCCACAGATGTTTGTTGTCTTGATAAGGTTTTGGAAGATCTAACCACAGACAAATTTACTTGTGACTGCCCATTTCCTTGCCACTCTGTTGATTACGATATCAAACTTTCCTATGNTGGGTTATTTTTCTGTTCATGGCGCTTCTCGTTTGTATTCACCAACTTTATCCCTTTATAGTTGTATATTCACAATATGATGTTATCATCGATTTTCAAGTTGAACATAAGTGGAGCTTAGAATTTCCTGCAGTAACTGTTTGCAATTTGAATCGAATGAAAAAGCGATATATTAGGTGCTTGAAACCAAATAAACCAATGGACGTTTGTATGAATGGGGCGGGAGCGAATCACTATAGACTCACTCTGTCTGAAAGAAATACAATAACATCATGCAAAGCTCTCTTGTATGGATATAGCAATATCTCGGATGACTCAGGACTTCCATTTATGACAAGATATTCTCTTTTGGATAAAGAAAAGCGTAAATCAATAGGAGAGCAAGCCAGTAGCTTCATACGTAGCTGCACGATAAATGGCACAATTTGCTCTATTGAAGAATTTTCTTTCGTGCAAAGTTTCCGCCATGGTAATTGCTATACTTTTAACAAACGAAAGAAAAATGATTTGAATCCCTTTGTGTCTTCAATGAATAAACTTAATTTAGGTTTGGAGCTAGTTTTGGATTTGCATCTTAAACAATATATGAGAGAAACGCAAGCAATTGGAGCAAAGATATTAATACATCATCCAAAAGATGAACCAAATATAGAGGAAGAAGGAATTACAGTTAGTCCAGGATTTGAAACTTCAATAAGTATGTCAAAAATGCAGATCGTTAGACTACCATATCCTTTCAGAGATCAGTGTATTCATTATGAACTTGATGATAAATATCCTTTTTGCAACCAACAGGACTGCGTCAGAAGTTGCATACAAAATTTTAATAAACTGGCATGTGGATGCACAGATCCAACTATACCAAAAGCAGATGATGCAAAACCTTGCAATATTTCCAATGCCACAGATGTTTGTTGTCTTGATAAGGTTTTGGAAGATCTAACCACAGACAAATTTACTTGTGACTGCCCATTTTCTTGCCATTCTGTTGATTACGACATCAAACTTTCCTACGCAAAATGGCCATCAAATGCATTGGGATATTTTCAGAAATACGATACGATAAATGAAAATAGCAATAGCATTGCGAGAAATCAGGCAGCGATAAAAATATATTTCTCCGATTTCAGACTAACGTCGTATTTTCAAAAGCCTAAGTTTGAAAAATCGGAAATCTTCAGTCACCTCGGTAGTGAACTTGGTATGTGGTTAGGATTGTCACTTTTCGCGACGTTTGAAATATGTGAGATTTTATGGCTAATTGTCAATTACTTCCTTAAGAAGTTTTTAACTTTCGTAAGAATTCAAATGCAATAAAATTGGATGTAGATAAAAGCTCTAGTATTCTATATATTTTAAAATTTCAGAAAAGCTTGTAGTCCGAAATATAATGAGCAAGACTTTACCATGCAATGCATTTCTCAAGAATTACTAATAAGAATTGATAATGTTGCATGCAGGTTGTGAAGAATTGTATCGATGATACCGGGCTCGCTTGTGGTACATTTATTATCCATCTGAAGTATAATACTCTTTACGCAATATAAAAGGTAATATTACATGCGTCACAAAATTCTAAAGAAAAATTGCAAATTCATTTAATACCAGTTTGATTTTTACTGGGGAATTGCGTGTAGAACTCAACACTTCTGACTGATAGTAGGATGTTCCGAGTTCGATACTGGTATTAAGAGTTGTTGAAAATCAGGAGTGTACGGATATACTAGCTATCATTTGGTCAACTCTGCTATTTTTTCAATCATCGATAACAAATGCTATGAATCGATTGTTTAGTGTACTTTAGGAAGTTTAAAAATTATCATCTGTTCTGTAAGTATTTTTCGTTGAAACATTGTTTTTTCAACAGGAAGTTACTAATTTTGAACTGTTATCCCAACTTTTCAATCATAAAAAAGTCATGGATACATATACAAGATTAATAGTGACATTTTGAAAGTGCAGTAACTCTTAAAAAATTGTATTCATTGAATTGTATTTTCATTGAATTATATTTATCGTATTGGTATTTTATTGGTATTTTTAGAATATGTGATATTAACCTGTTAAAACTTTCTATTCTGAGAATTGAGCAAGCTTTCTTTTAAAAACCGCATTCCCGTTTCCTAAACGGAATATTCTGATAAGTTGGTCGAGTTTGGCACAATTTTCTCGTAATGGAACTTTCAATGCTAATTCGATTGAAGCTAGCGTGTATTTCTTGTAGCCTATATTTCTATCCCGTATTGTGTATTATTCTGGTATTAACTTGTAATGTTCAATATGCACAGACAATTTAACCAAATAGTAAACATAAATGTGAGTATTACGTAGTACCGATACTATACAACATTGTTTGACATCATGAATCAATATTGTAATGATATCTTTCATGTCTATTGTAATGATATCATTGATGTCTATTGTAATGATATCTTTGATGTCTACTGTAATGATATCTTTCGAATTTTATTCCTCTATATTGGATAAAAATGTAATGACATAAAACCATTTCTCACTGTTTTTGGCTCACCTCTCACAAGGACTGGTAAACCAGATTGATAGATTGCACACAAGCCCGAAGCTGGAATCAAGCCCGGGATCTTTCTGTTACGAGGATAACTCTTTGACCAATATACCGACCAGTCGGCAAGCTTTATCACTTTATTTTCGATCGTTTAATCTTCATTCTACAGTTAACAATACTCCACAGTGCACTGCAATGAGGTTCCGAGTTGATTAAAAATTTTGGTAATATATTTTAGATTACGCGCTTTACTTCGAAACGATTCTCAAAATTAATGAAACTCTGCTCAAGGATTGCTTAATCGTCAAAAGTGAGAGTATAGATTGAGAACGCGTATTCTTTAAGCTAACAAGTTATCAATGAAATTAAGCTATACTTCCCTTAGTTTTTTACCATAGATCGCGGTTACTTGCTATTAAATATATAGTGGACAATACCACCCTTCCTTAATTCAAAGGGGATTCATGATATTTCATATTTAATGCGCAGTAACATCAAAAGAAATACTGATTCTAATAATTGTTCTTCGGAAATTTTTGCTGAATTAAATTAGTCAATATTTTAGTCTAAACAGAAATATTTTTACGAATGTAATTTTGTTAAATTATGCAATACATTTTAAATTTGAGCTGTAACTTTTCGCAGAAATAGATTTATAAACAATGCTATATTCAGCATTTAAACAGTTTAGAAATCAATTTGGCACACTTGTACCACGATTTGATGTGCAATTTTTTCCCGTAATAACAATTTAATATTTTTTTTAATTAAAATATAATTGTAATTTTAATTTAGCATAACTAACATTTTAATCACCGTTTATATTTTGCTCTTTGAAACAGCTTCGAAAAATGCTTTTAATAAAATAAGGTAACACTAGACTGAAACTTTCGGAATATTGATTAATTGACATAAAAGTTATTTGGCAGTCTTTAACATTTTCATAAGAGTTTGAGAGGAAAGAAAAAGCTAGAATAAATTTCAATACAAAGACATCAAATTTGAATTGATGTTTACAAAGTTTCGTTATCACACTTACTTATAACTTACATAATTATACCGAATTATGCCTTCATACCGAACTGGTACAAAAGGCCTCGAATATTTTTCTCCACACACTCCTGTCTTTAGCCGGGCAACGTGCTTTTTCCCATCCAGTTAATTATGCTCTACTAAGATCTTCCTTAATGTATTTTTGCCATGTTAGTCTCGGTCTCCTTCTTTTTCTCTTTCCATCAGGCACCCATGAGTTTCCAACATTTGCAGGATTGTTAGCAGGACGTTATCACATTTATTAATAATTATAACACTGCCTGCCGTTTAAAGATATTGCATAGGTATCTGCATTTTTTCAATTCGTAAAAGCAGCTGAATCAACTAACTGAACGTCTACTTCACGTAATATATGAGATGATTCTCGTGCCATAACAGGTTTAAACATACAATAAAAGTCATGAAAATAAATTCATGAAATATTATAAAATTTTATTTTTCATTCAAAATAAGCGAAACTATTTGAAATAAAATTTCATTTAAGGTTAAATTACACAAATTTAAAGTCGCTTATGTTCATTGATTTCTTAATGTTAACAAAAGTTAAAGAAGTGCTCCGCTATTTACTAGAGAACTAAAAAAGCTACTTACTAGAGAACTCTTTCGATAGAAACAACTCCTACCTCCACATGATTTCATCAAGCCCTATTAGCATTATTACAAAGATCAAACCCCATGTCCCTGGAAGAGATTTAAAAAATAATGAGCCATTTCAGATAAGGAGAAACCGAGCCCGATATTTACGACACTCGAAAAAAGACGATGTTTTAGAAAAGGCATGCTAAGTACTGGACTTAAAATCTTTAAACTTATTAGTTAAAAACAAAGAAAATTTACACATTTTTTTATATCAAATTAATTTAATATCAATTTCAAAAAAGTTATATAACTCGATAGGATAGTATAATAATTCCAATTAATATCTCACTATACTTTTAACATAAACTAATAATATATTAATTCTAACGATTGTATCTTGTATTGTATTCTGTACAGTAAAATCTCGCAGCAACAATATTTTGGGGAACAAATTAATATATTGTTATATCGATGGCCTACATACTTAGAGGACACGATGAGATATCTTAAAAATTATTTATGTTATATATGTATTAACTATAAATGTATTGATATATTATGCAAAAAACTTAATTTGCAGAATGCTAATTATGGTTAAATATTAAAAAAAATGAAATAAATTCAGAAAATAAGATCGTAAACATACCTGAAAACCGCTTTTATTCAAAATAATCTGATATTCTTGTTTGTTTTTCATTTTTTTTGACTGACAAGTCAACCAACAAAGTATGCATTGAATCCAATGCACGAAAACGATTCTCGTTTAGTAAATGGTGCTCTACCCACCCTCTGCAGAATAAATTCTCTTTCAGCTGTTAATGTGAGATTTGTGTTAATTTGTGACTAGTGATCAGCTTTTAAAAAGAGGGAAATTAAATCAGATAGGAATGTTACATCTGTGACTT